CGAGAGCAAAGCGGATCCGTGGTCAATGCGCAGCACACACTGCCGCGCGGCCGGCGAGCGCGGTGTGGGCACGGTTTCGCGGCCGGCGAGCGCGGCGTGGGCACGGTTTCGCGGCCGGTGAGCGCGGTGTGGGCACGGTTTCGCGGCCGGTGAGCGCGGTGTGGGCACGGTTTCGCGGCCGGTGAGCGCCGTGCCCAAGTGGCTAAAGGCTGCGTAGCGTTCCACTGCAGATACATGCTGCATTTTCTGTGTGCATTCCACCCTTGGGGACACGCCATGGCTGTTGTGACGACACTGCTGTGCACAGGAGAGCAGATATCTCTTTGATGTGCCGATTCTCTTTCCTTTGGATATGTGCCCAGCATGGGGTTCCTGGATCATATGATAGTTTGCTTTTACCATTTGAGGAACCTCCATACAGTTTTTCACAGTGGCTGTACAGTGGGCAAGTGTTCCCTTTTCTTCAAATCTCCTGTTCTCCATGTTGCTAGCACTGTTCTCTATATCTTACTTAATTTTTTAAAGCATGTTTTTAGGGCTTATAAAATACATTCTTTTATTTAAAAGAGAAAAGAAAGCCAGAGAATGGCTAAGCTGGAATAGTCTGTATCAGACAGCTCTGCAGCAGAGCATGGGATAAAGGGACAGATTTGGAGAAAGGGGAAGAGGCAGGGAAAGGCAGGAAGAGGGAAGTGGGAAGGAGCACAGAAGGGGGACAGAGAGGCGAGAAGGAGGGAGAAGATGACGAAGGGGAGCCGAAAGCTTCCACTCCGAAGGCACACGGCTGAGGGTGGGGTCCTCTGCGCCTCAGCGGCGGACGAAGACCCAGGGTCCGGCTTAGCACAACAGTTCATCAAAGGACCATATCCCCATGCTCGGTAAGAGGATTTGCTGTTGAGGCTGTGGGGAGAAAAGAGTAAAACAGAAAGGCTGAATGGAGAGGAAGGCTCTCAGCCGGTGAAGGGTTCCTGCTGTGCCCCGTTGCCCACGGCAACACTCGAGTGGCAGAGGCCTTTTCATCCCGGACTGTGCCTGGGGCCTGCGGCCAAGGCCCAGGGGGCCGGCTGGCCAGGAGTCCAGGGCCGCCTTGTCCCCGAGCCCTTTGCCAGTGCACAGCAACAACTCTCGGGGTCAGAGCTGCCCTGGGTATATCTCGGGGACCACACATGCCACCAAAGCTTGAGGACACTTTTGGGAGGAAGTCGTGGATGTGAGGCCTATTCAGAAGGGCTTACTGTGAGGAGCCAGGCAGACAGATGTGAGCATGGTGCCATACTCACTCCATTTGTTTCTGCAGGAGCAAACCATAGACAGAAATCGACAAGAGGGGAAGGAAAAGGTCAACCTGTGGACCAGAGGATGGATGGTTGATGGCTGTTCCTGGGTTGTCGTAGTTTCTACATGTGATAGAGGGAGAACAGAAGGATCCAAAGGCCTCAACTGGGAGAGAAAATTGAGGGGTGCCGTAGGCAGGAGATTCCCTATTACAAGGGATAAGGAGTTGCACCGGTTCAAGTCCGGCTCCAGGGTCGACTGCAGAGCCCGGCACCCCAGAGCGTCCACACGGCTCTCTGCACCACACAACCGCACTGACTCGGCTCAGGACTCTGAGGTTGCTGTGAGCTATAGCACGCCACTGCACTCTGCCTGGGGCAACAGAGTGAGACTCTGTCAAAACAAAAAAACAAAAAACAACAAAAAAGAGACTGTTTCCCCACATAAAATTAGGAACAATATTGTTCCTAAGGTTGTCCAACCTCACCACTGCTGTTTTCTATTCAACATAACACTGGAAGTCCTAACCAATGAAATTAAGCCAGGAAAATACCCAAAACATACAGATTGCAAAGGAAGGAATATAACTGTCCCTATTCACAGAAGACATGATCACCTACATAACAAATCCTATAATCTACATAGAAAAGTACTAGGACTAATAGTTGCGTTTAGCAAGGTCACAGGATACACTATCAATATACTAAAAAAATCAATTATATATCTATATACTAGAAATAAACAACTAGAAATTAAATTTTAAGTACCATTTCAATTACAGCATACAAATGAAATATGGAGTTCATAGCACAAAAATTGCAGGATCTATATACTAAAAGAACTACAACATGCTGATGAAAGAAATCCAAGAAGACCTAAATAAATGTAGCAATATCTATGTGCATGAACTGGAAGACAGTATCGTCAGCATGTTACTTCTCCCCAAATAGATCTATAGATCCAAGGTCATCCTAAAAAACGCCAGCAGCATTCTTTTATTAGGTTGGTGCCAAAGTAATTGTGGTTTCAGACCATGAATTTTAAATCATTATAACTAGGCTCAAACATACATTTATTAATCAAAATAGGAACCATTATAATCAACACATTGTTGCCAGTAAGAAATAAGTCTGTTTACTCCTGTAGTATAAAAATCCGTGCTTCAGAATTCAACAAACTCTTTGAAAGCATTTTCTGCATCCTGCTGATTATGGAAGCATTTTCCCTGCAAAAAGTTGCCGAGATGCTTGAAGAAGTGGTAGTCTGTTGGCGAGAGGTCAGGTGAACATGGTGGGTGAAGCAAAACATCGTAGTCCAATTCATTCAACTTTTGAAGCCTTGGTTGTGTGATGTGTGGTCAGAAGTTGTCGTGGAGAAGAATTGGGCCCTTTCTGTTGACCAGTGCCGGCTGCAGGCGCTGCAGTTTTCAGTGCATTGATTTCCTGAGCATACTTTTCAGATGTAACAATGGTTTTGCCAGGATGCAGAAAGCTGTAGTGGATCAGACCGGCAGCAGACCACCAAACAGTGACCATGACCCCTGTGCAAGTTTGGCTTTGGGAAGTGCTTTGGAGCTTCATCTTGGTCTAACCACTGAGCTGGTCATCACCGGTTGTCATATAAAATCCACTTTCATCACACATCACCATCTGATTGAGAAATGGTTTGTTATTGCGTATGAGAAGAGAGGGTGACACTTCAGAGCAGGGACTTTTTTTATTTTTGGTCAGCTCATGAGGCACCCACTTATTGAGCTTTTTCACCTTTCCAATTTGCTTCAAATGCTGAGCACAGTAGAATGGTCGATGTTGGATTCTTCAGCAACTTCTCGTGTAGTTGTAAGAGGATCAGCTTCCAGGATTGCTCTCAATTGGTTGTTGTCAATTCTGATGGCCAGTCACTGCACTCCTCATCTGCAAGTCTTTCCTCTCCTTTGCAAAACTTATTGAACCACAACTGCACTGTATGTTCATTAGCAGTTCCTGGGCCAGATGTGTTGTTGATGTTGCGTGTTGTCTCCCCTGCTTTACGACACATTTTGAACTTGAATAAGAAAATTGCTCGAATTTGCTTTTTGTCTAACATCATTTCCATAGTCTAAAATAAATATAAAATAAATAGTAAGTAATAAGTCATTAGCAAAAATACATAGAGTAAGAAATGCACATTAAAAGTATGTATAACATAACCACATTTATTTAAGAATATATTCTAATATCAAACGGCAAATATCAACAATGTTAAAACCGCAATTACTTTTGCACCAACCTAAAATACAATAAACACTGATTCTAAAATTTACATGGAAAGGCATAGTTTCTAGAATCACCAAAACAATTTTGAAAAAGAACAAAATTAAAACCACCTAATTTCAATATTTTGAAGCTACCATAATCAAGACAATATTATATTGGCAAAAAGGTAGCCATACATCAATAGAGGAGAGAATAGAGCACAGAAATAGGTGAGCACAAATGATTTTCAACAAAGGCACAAACACAATTCAATGGAGAAATAGTCTTTTTAACAAATGGCACTGGAACCACTGGACATCTGTATAAAAAAAAAGGATCTCTATTAACTAAAAATATTAATAAATCATAGACCTAAATGTAAAGCATACAACTATGAAATTTTTAGAAGAAAATATAGGAGAAAACCATTATGACTTTGGTTTAGCAAAACATTCTTAGATTAAACATGGAAAGCATAACTCATAAGAAACAAATTAATAAACTAGATTTTATCAAAATTAAAAACTTTTGCTTTGTCCAAGTCATTGCTAAAAGAATACAAGATGCAGATCAGGATAAAATATTTTAAAATCATATACCTGACAAAGGACTTGTATACAAGCATATATATAACTCTCAAAACTCAACAATAGGAAACCAAGCAACCAACTAATTAAGTTAGAAAACATTTGGAGTCATACTTTTCCAAAGTAAATACATGGATCACAAATAAACACATAAAAGTGCTCAATACTATTAGTCATTAGGGAAATGAAAATTAAAGCCACAATCATATACTACTATATTTAATACATTTAGCCTGATTATTAATGGCTAAATTCTTTTTAATTACAATACTAAGTGTTGGTGAGGATGGGGAGCAATTGGAATTCTTTTTTTTTTTTTTTTTGAGACAGAGTCCCGCTTTGTTGCCTAGGCTAGAGTGAGTGCCATGGCGTCAGCCTAGCTCACAGCAACCTCAATCTCCTGGCTCAAGCAATCCTTCTGCCTCAGCCTCCCAAGTAGCTGGGACTACAGGCATGCGCCACCATGCCTGGCTCATTTTTTTATACATATATATATTAGTTGGCCAATTAATTTCTTTCTATTTATAGTAGAGACAGGGTCTCGCTCTTGCTCAGGCTGGTTTCGAACTCCTGACCTCAAGCAATCCGCCCGCCTCGGCCTCCCAGAGAGCTAGGGTTACAGGCGTGAGCCACCACGCCCGGCCGGAATTCTTAAACAATGCAAAAATGGTTATAGCCATTCTGGAAAACAATTTTGAAATATCTTATAAAGTTAAACATAATCTTATAAGAACTTACCTATATGTATTTGTATTTATCCCAATGAAATGGACACGTGTTCACAGAAAATCACTTTTCCAAATATTTTTGGCAGCTTTTTTTTGTAATAGCCAAAAATAAGAAAGAATTCATGTGTCTCACCTGGGAACAGGTAAATAAACGGTGGTCCCTCATAGGACAGAAACCCACTCAGCAATAAGAGAGAATGAGCTACTCACACACAACAACATGGAGGAATCTTCACCGTGTGGCATCCCAAGTGGAAGACGCCAGGCGCAAGGGGCTCCACTCTGTGTGCTTCCACTTGCATGACGTTATGGAAGAAGCAAAACTATAGGGCCAGAGACCAGACCAGCGGTCACCTGGGCTCACAAAACCCAGGTGGGGGCCTGGGGAGGGGATGTGCCCCAGAGGGTGTGGTGCGAGGTTGTGAGGGGGGAGGGTGGCGCAATTGTTCCTTTCCTGGTGGTGGTTACCTGACTGTTTGCATTTGTCAAAAATCATAGAACTGCGCATCAAAACAAGTACATTTTCATGTGTGTAAATTTTTCAAAGTTTCTAAAAAAAAGTATACAATGAAAATTATTTTTTTTATAAAAAAATCTAAATGTATTTTTTTAAAATTTAAATTTAAAATAAGAAAAAGTTACCTATATCCTTACCCAAAGATAACAACAATAGGAATTTTAGTGGATTTCTTCATATTTTTCTGTGCATGTATTTTTTTCTTAGTTTGTTTTGGATTTTTTAAAACCTAGGTTGTCATGTACGTAATTCACAGTCGCCTGCTGGAGGCTCCCAGGTTCGTTCTCCTTGTAGAGTCCCTTCAAAAAGAAAAATGAGGCACCTCTTACCCCTGGGCCCTGTTTCTCTGCTTCCCTGGTGACCTCCAGAGCACTGGTGTTTCTCCTGCTTGCAGTTGCTGGACCATCCTCTCAAGATGGTTCATCCTCATCGTCCGGATCTCAAAGTCCAGAGTGAGACAGAGCTTGCAAAGCCTTTCGGCATAGACGCTTCCCTCACTACTCCATCCCCCCAAGTACCAGCCACACACGGCTGTGTGTGCAGCAGGCTTTCTGAAGGGTCACCCCAATCACACGTCCAGATGACCACATCCCCAGCTAATACCTCGAACACCCCGCGTGACACAGCCTGAGCTAGAGCACAAGCTACACCACCCAAATTGCGGATGCACAGAATCTACGAGGCGATAAATATTTGGGTAAGTTTTGGTAATTTTTTATACGGCAATAGATGACTACTACAGTAGCTAAGCAAAAGCAAAAGCAAAGCAGAAAAGTGCATTGGAATCACAGCGAACCATTGGTTTCTCAAGTGTGAGTGCAGCACCCTTTCTTTTAATATTGGGTATGAAATACAATCTTGGGGGAGAAAACTATCTGGTATGTTCAGCACTAAGATATGTGAAAAAACTAGTATAATAAAGAAAAAAATTTTTGATCTGTGAAAAGTTAAAGAAGTTAGGGCTGCCTTATCCCTAAAAGCAGGGCAGTAAAGGCATGGGTGACCATGTCCTCCCTCCCAGAGCAGCTGTCCTCCAATCCACTGCCTGTTGGGCCCTTAGAGAATGAAGTAGTCAGTATAAAATAAAAGAAAAATACTCTTAGGCATAAACAAAAAAATGTCTTTATTCTAAGGAACTTCCAAGGATTATTATTAGAAGTCCATCTTTGTATAATAAATGAATGCCAAGGTAAGGGCTGAAAAATATGATTTTTCAAGCCAGAGCTTGAAAATGGATTTAACTGGATTTAAAGAATTAAATTATCCTTTGAATTATATCCTTTGAATTATAAACTTGAATATAAAACTCTGAAATAAGAGTTTTCCACATCCAATACCGGCACTAACATGACGGCCCTGTGCTGTGGCCGAGCGCCCTGTGCAGAGAGGAGCAGCAGCAGCTGGTGCTGAGAAGGCAGCTTCAGCAGGAAGCACCTCCGTCCTTCGCCCACAGTCCTGAGCAGAATGCTGTCTGGCCTGGGCGCAGGCGCAGTGGACGTGGGCAAGGTGTGGCGCTGTCTCTCGCTGGAGGAAGTCTGTGTGTCGCCGCAGGGCTGCTCTGGGCTGCCCCGGGTCTGCCGTGGCAAATCCCAGGCTGGCAAGGTCTAGGGACCTGCTGGCTCTTGTAGGTGCTGATCACGGAACACTCGTCCTGGAGCATGTTCCCTCTCTCCCTCCTTCTCCCATGTAATGCTGCCTTCGGAGATCAAAAATTGTAAGAAGGGGGAAAAGATACTTGATTTTACCACACATGCACAGTCATGCCTCCGTAGGACAGAGCTTGGATTTTTCAAGTTGGCATAAAAACAGCAGTCACTCATGATATTAGCGATTTCTTCCTATTATTTCCTAAAATAGCTGCAAAATAAGTTTGCTGCTTCTTACTTCAAATAACCAAAGGCCAGCAGTCTTTATCCTGTATTTCCATGTCCCTTGATAAGTTGAGTGTGATCACAAAGCAGTTTTATGGTTTTCTCTTAAACAACTATTTTCATAACATTTTAAAAAATGGCTATCATTAATCTTTGTATTGGGGGATTTCTGGAACCTCCCTAAGTAAATATCTACTCCACCATTCACTTTTCTTAGAACAGGATCTGAATGCAAACGTGTCTTGGAGAAGAAAACTGATGCTGCTCACCTCCAAGACAAGCAGGACCAGGAATGTCAGAACCAACCACAGCTGGGACGTGGAATGCCACATTACTCTTGATCAGAGAGGCTCTTTGCACCCAGATTCAGAGCTTCACAGCTCAGGGCTTCACGCTGAGATTCTACAGCCCTGGGCATCAGATTGCTCAGCTATAGATTAAGTGCTGACTCCTTGATACAATAAAAAGGCAGAGATGCATGTGTTCTGTATTAAGGTCAAAGTTGTTAAATGTCTTCATCCTTTTCAAAGCATCGGCAGGTCCCAGGGTAATTCCCCCAGTCTCACTGAAAGTGCGTCTGGCGCTGGTCTGTGTGAGCCGCAGGACAGCTGTGACGTTTGAGACAGGCCTGGACGCTTCCTGGCATTCGGGCCACCCTGCATCGTCAGGAGAAGTGCCTGAAGTTTCTGGCGCTTTATATTGCTGGCAATCATTTGTTTATGCCCCTCCTCAACTAATCCTAAAAGCTTGCCTCTTTTTTCCCTAGAGAATTAAAGTCTAGGACGGTGAAAATAAAAATAATACAATAGATCTTGTCCAACTCACACCAGCCAATGGCTGGAACAGACTCTGACTCTTAAAGGCAGAGCCATTCTCAAAGCACCTAGAGCAGGAACAGTGGCCTTGCGCAGCAGCTACCAGCAACGCCACTGGGCCTCAGACCATCACCTGCCCAGGACACCCACACATGGTCCTCGCACTGCCCCGTCCCCGGAACAGTCTTTCTCCTTCAGACACAGACAGCGGGAAGCAACTCACACCGCATGGAGGTTTCAGGTTTTGACTCCTGTCTTGCTCTCTCTGCTTCGCTATCCTTCCTTCCCTCTCTCCTTTCCTTCCTTCTTCCTTCCCACCTTCCCTCTTTTCCTTCCTTCCTCCCTTCCTCCTTTCCCCTCTCCTCCCCTCCTTTCCTTCCTTCTTTTCCTCCTTCTTTCCTTTCTTCCTTCTTTCCCTCTTTCCTTCCTCCCTTCCCCTTCCTCCTTCCCTCCCTTCCTTCCTTCCTCCCTTCCCTTCCCTTTTTCCTTCCTTTCCTTTCCTCCTCCCTTCTTTCCCTCCTCCTTCCCTTCCCTCCTCTCTTCCTTCTTTCCTTCCTTCCTTCCTTCCTTCCTTCCTTCCTTCCTTCCTTCCTTCCTTCCTTCCTTCCCTCCTCCCTTCCTTTCCTTCTCTCTTCTTTCCCTCCTCCCTCCCTTGCTTCCTTCTTCCTTCCTTCCTTCCTTCCTTCCTTCCTTCCTTCCTTCCTTCCTCCTTTCCCTCCTTCCCTCCCTCCTTCCTCCCTTTCTTCCCTCCTTCAATTCTTCCTCCCTTCCTCCCTCTGACAACCCAGTCCAGCAGGGCCAGGCACTGTCCTAGGTGCTGAAGATTCAAGTCAAACTGGGGCAGGTTTCTGCCTTGAAGCAGTAAAGGACTGAAAAGCAAACCGTGATCACAGTGTGGTGTGACAGCTGAGGGGGCCTCCACGTGGAACGGGCTGAGGGGGGAGTTCTCTGGAGGAGGTGGGGGTGTTCTGGAACCCAGAGGAAGTCCCATGACTAACAGGGCCCTTCCCGGGTGGCTGCGGGGGCAGCGCTGCTACTCAGCCGTGTGGCTGGCGCACGCTCCCCAAAGTCACCGATACCATTTGAGTTTTAATATCCAAATTGCCCGTTTTGAAATGTGTCTACGTGAATCTATTTAAAGTCCTGTCTGCTGCGCAGTGGTGCACTTGATATATGAGGTTTTGATTTCATTTCTCATTTATTATTCTTCATATTCAAATTCAGAATCTGTGATTTCACTCTGAGAGTTCTGAGGACTGCGAGTGGGGCAGGACACGCCTCTCGCTTCTGTGGGCTCCCTCGTCCGGACCGGCGCGCACTCCTGAACCCGCGTGGGGCCGGGCCTGGCCGGGCCAGCACTGTTGGTGACGGCCTCTCAGTCTGCTTGGGCAGGATGCCGCAGCGGGCCTGGAGCTGCCAGTCCCATGTCAGCCCCCAGCTGCCGAGCTCATTAGGGACCCTGAGGTCATCCCGGCCTCCCTGGCAATCTAAGCAGGAACCCCCTGATTGGGGCTCGCAGGCACAGCAGGGATCTGGGCGCTGGGATAAAAACACATTGGCCTCTCTGCAGCCCAGGGAGTGGCGGTCGTCAGAGCTGCCTTGGTTTAGAATAATTCCAAGCTGGGGCTGAGCCCTGAGAACGCAGCTCTGAATTGAATCTCCTCCTGGACTGATTGGCAATTACCCTGCCCTGCGTAGATGCAATCAGATCTGAAATCATCTCAGCCCGCCACCACCAGCCCCGCACTGCTCCTCGTGCGCCCGATGAGCTTCCCGCCTTGCTCAGGAAGGTGAGCTACTGAAACAGGCTACACACCCCACCCGGTTTGCTCAGAAGGGCCCTGGGCCGAGCACAGCAGAAACACAACGAGACAGGAGGGTCAGGACCGAAGCCCCAGTGGCTGGCTCAGTCGCAGGTGGAGAGAAAATGCTCACTGAGATGTCAGCTTGCAAATTCAAACAAGACAGAGAGCTGGACACACTGGGTTTTTCTTTTGTATGCAAAGAGCTTCCTTATCATCTCTCCTGTACTGCACACAGAGGAAGACATCGCTGTTTGCCAAAAACATGTTCACATGCCAGCGGGACCCAGGCTCACTGCACACTTGGAAGAACCCCGAGGCAGGAAGGCGGGACCCTGCCAATCCCACCGCCCACTTGCAAACCTGCTACTCTGACAGCCCTTCTCACAGGTAGAGATGCCCTGTCCTACTTCTGCCTGTGTCCACTGAGGGCTCGCTGCAGCTGTCCTCTGTACGTGGGCATGTCTGTGGCCTGCTTAGCCTCCAGCCTTATAGGCAAAGAAGGTGAGACACCTCGAGCCCGGTGGGTCTGTTGAGTTGGGCATCTCTGTCCTGCCTCTGCCCTCAGGCTCCAGCTGGGTCTGGTTACAGGAGCCCTGGCAGAACCCGAGGGGTGCAGAAGTGGGGCGTGGAGGTCAATGTCCACTCCCGGGGAACTGCCAGGGCCACTGCGCCCCATTGCACTGAACATTCTAGTTTCTGTCTATGCTGACCCAAGCATAGAAAACGCTCCCTTCTTCAGACTCCCTTGAAGCACCTTGTTTGACATGGCCATCTGTTTCCTGCCCATTGTGGCCTGGCCCAGGGCCCTGAGTGGTTCTCTATGGTGCAGGCCCGGTGAGTGGTAGCAGGTGTGATCGCGTGAGCCCCGTGCAGGAATGAAAGCCACGCAACACACCTGCACCCTGGCTCCGCTCAGCCAGTGCCGGTGCTGGGGGCCTGTGCACCACCACGACATGTTTATTAGTGTCTTGGGGCTGCAGCACCAAGTGTGCCACGCCTGGGGGCTTAGACAACAAAAATCAGGGATCTCACAGTCCTGGACGCTGGGAGTCTGGAATTGAGACATGGGCAGGGCCACGCTCTCCGAAATGCGGGGAGGAGAACACTTCCTCCTGCTTCCTAGCCTCGGTGTTTGCAGCAGGTCCTGGGTTCCTTGACCTACTGCTGCATCCTGCAACCCCTGCCTCCAGCTTCACATGGCTTCTTCCCTGTCTTTCTCGTCCTTTGAGCTCTGATGGGTGGCACGCATTTCTTTTTGTTTATGCAAGTGCCTGCATTTCTCCAAATGTCTGAGACCCAGCAGAGCAGAACCACTGAGAGAGAACTTCAGGGCCACGTTGCCTGCATCCCAAACCTGGACCCAACACTCACCATTTCCTCATCATGAAAGTGGTCATCAAAAAGACACGGACAGCCTCAGAGCATGCATTTGAAAGTCGTAGGAGGTAATTGCTGAAGACTTAGGATGGTGCCTGGCAAGGAGCAAGCGCCGGATGGTGTCCGCACGGAGCACTGTGACCCAAGCCTCTGAGCCTCGCCGTGGGCCTGTAGCCGCAGCGGAAATGCCAGTGGCAGCTCCTCATCGCCTGAGCCAGTCGACTCTGCGTTCTGTCCTCCACCAAGTATCAGGAAGGGGCAAAGATATCCACTTAAAGAGCTATATGCTTTTTGTTTGTTTATATAAGGATGTAACATAATTTTCTCAAGGTGTGTGAGCTATCTGTTAGGTCGTGAGTATTTCAAGGCTGGTGTTCACGAGGCTTGATGGGGAATATTTTTCCAGTCCAGAATAAAAAAATACTGAGATGTCTTTTGAAATGTTCTAATTTCATTAAGTTTTTATTTCTTTCATTCTTTGAAAAATCAATAAAAATGACATCTATAAACATTTAAACATGAGTTATATTAATATATTTTTATTTTTATTACCAATGTTTTACTGAAAAGCTCATGGTAGTGGGGAAAGGATTTTGTATTTTATCAAGATATTAATTTGGGCAATTCTATTTTTTCAACAGAAAAACTTAGGAAACTATTTTTACCCAGTGTAGCAAAACCTCACACTGCGCGTGTATATCCGTGGCAGAAAGCACTTTGGCAGACAGTGTCCCACTTGATCTGTCGTCTCTCACCAGTGGCCAGTGTCCTGCCTCCGCACTGGCCGCCTGCACAAAGCTTCAAGGTGGCCGGGCCTGCACGCCACATGCACCCCACCTGCACCCCACCTGCACCTCCCGCTGGGCCGAGGTGATGGTGGGGCTGCGGGAAATGACCTGCCTCCTCCTGGCCCTGGAAACCAGCCCATCTGCCCAAGGGCAGCATGCTGCCCCGACTGTGACCACGCTTTTCCTCCCTCAGAAGCTCAGCTGCTCCTTACCCTCTCTTACCATGTTTTTACCCTCAGGCCTCTGTGCATTCCCCCTCATTCGACCAACACACATTGAGCACCGCGACAGGCCTGGCACTGCTCCAGGGCGGAGGGCGCAGCAATGTGCCAGCCATGGGAGGGAGCTGCTCACGCTCGGGGTGGGAGACTAAGGCTGCAGGAAGCAGTGACGTGGTTAGCTGCTCCTTGGTGGCAGGTGCTGTGGAGACGAGCGGATGGGCCCAACCCAAAGCAGGTGGTCAGGGGGCCTCAATGACAAGCTGGCTTTGGAGCAAAGAGCTGACAAGGGGAAGTGAGGAAGGGAGGCAGTCTAAGGACCAGGTCCCGAGGTGGGAGGAGGAAGGAGGCCGTGTGGTTGATGTGCACTGACTAGAGCGGACAGCAAATTAGAAATGTGTCCCAAGGGCAACAAGGGGCCAGACTGTGGAGGGTTGGATGGCCCAGTGCCACTCATGCCAGGGAGGGCCGCCTCTCTGGACCAAGCGTCCTAAGGATGGTTGTGCACCACCCACTCTAATGCACTTATGGGTCTCTGTCTCTGCCTCTTTTGTCTCACTCTATCTCTGCCTCTTTCTGTCTCTCTCTGTCTCTTCCTCTCTGTTTCTGTCTTTGTCTCTCTGTCTCTGTGTCTCTGTTTGTCTCTCTCTGCCTCTCTGTCTCTCGGTCTCTCTCTCTGTCTGTCTGTCTCTGTCTCTCTCTGTTTCTGTCTTTGTCTCTCTGTATCTCTCTGCGTCTCTCTCTGTATCTCTCTGCAAGAGTGCAGTTGCTTTCAGAATTTCTCAAGGGCCAATTCTCGTGGACCCAGGAACACTCAATAACTTGATTTACAACAGCTCTGGTGGCGAGATGTCCCATTTGGCCCGTGTACCAAGATGTCACATACCACCCACAGCCCTCACTGCCCAAAGACTCAGGTCTCCACTCCTTAGCCTGCCACCCAAGGCCCTCCAGGCTTGACCAGACCCTCCTCCAACATGCCATGCTCCAGCAGGGCATGGCCACTCCCTTAGTTTCCCAGTACATTACCTGCAACTGAAATTGTCACACTGAAGGCCATCTGGGTTTATTAGCTTTCTTTGTGTTGCTGATCTTCTTTTGCTGCAAGGTTGCAAATTTCTTGAAAGCATTATTCATGACAAATATCTTTTTCACTTTTGTACCCTACACTTTGCAAAGTTCCATAACCCTCTGTTCACATGCTTAAAGTCTGCTCCACCCAAACGTGGGTCTGTCCCCACCTCGAACATGCTTTGAACATCAGTCTCATCGCACTCCCTCTGCTGAGAAATTCCGACCTTCCGTGCAGGCTCTAGGCAGGCCCTCTGTTTTAAGCCCTGAGAAAATTGAATCTCCTTCTGGGAAACTTTCTCTAACTGCCCAGCCCCAAATCATCCTTTCCTCTACAGAATCATGAAAGCATCTGTTCCTATAAACTAGCCTCTTGGCATAGACGGCTTGCACTTTCCTGGAGACACCCTGCTATGTCCTGCCTCTGTGCTTCTGTGTGTGCTGTTCCCCATCCACACTGCCTTTCCCTTCCACTCCCCTTTCTTCGAGACTGATCTCCCAGCAGGGCATGGCCACTCCCTTAGTTTCCCAGTACGTTACCTGCAACTGAAATTGTCACACTGAAGGCCATCTGGGTTTATTAGCTTTCTTTGTGTTGCTGATCTTCTTTTGCTACAAGGTTGCAAATTTCTTGAAAGCATTATTCATGACAAATATCTTTTTCACTTTTGTACACTTTGCAAAGTTCCATAAATATAATAGATATTTAACAAACACCTGCTGAATCGAATTCTTTCCCTGTGGAATTCTTTCCCTGTCTTGTCAAAGGAGTGTGAGTTGCTGTGCTGACTCATGAGTAAGCCCCTGTGAAGATGTCAGTTCATTGCTTGAGATTAGAGGGACCATGCCGTGGGTCTGCAGAAAGCCCCCTCAGTCCCTTCCCTCTGTCTTTCCTCCCTAAGAGAGGAGCCATGAAATATGAATCTTTAAAAGCCATGAACCTTCAGCCTGGCTCCGACCAGAGCGTGGCGAGGTGTGAACGGGCTGTGCACAGAGTGTGCCTCTCTGGCACAGCAGGACAAGGAACAGACTTATTTTTCTTCTGGAGGAGAAATGGATTTCAACGAAAAACCTGAAAGGCTTAGTGGAAGGCTGAGGGTCCTGCATGCTTCCAGGACACACCTGGGTTTGGTGCACCCAGTGGGCTGATTGGAAAACAGCCAGACAGTGCACGGGAGGCCAAACCAGCACAGCCAAGAGGGACCTGGCACTGCTTATCTGACAGCGCACCTGCAGCGTTGCAGCGGCACGTCTTCTGGGCTCTCCGCCCCTCACCCTGGGGACACATCCTCAAGACCAGATGGTGCCTCTAGAAGTTTCTGAGCATGAAGTAAGGAGGGGGGAAGTCAGGGTCAAGTTCCATCCTTGATGACCCATCTCCCATGGCCATGGTGGCCACAGTGACCCCCACTTACCTGCCCATACAAGCGCCACAGCAGGGCTGCTCCGGGGGCCACAGGAGACATGCTGGTTTGCTAAAGACACTGGGATGAGAACGCTGACCCCGTGGGAGTTGTCTCCCCCCAACATCCAATGGACACGCATGGGGAGAGCTGGGGCGGTTTCCAGCTCTCTGACGCCTTCATTGTCACATGAAATTTAGAATTTTAAATTTTTAAAATATTCTTTATTCCAGACCTTAGCCTCCAACCCCTTTTGCGTTCGTCCTCTTATTTTGGCAGCTGCTTCTGTGCAGTTCATTGTCCCACCTGCAGCTCTTGCTGACCGTGGCCTAGGAGCCACTGTGACGCTCTTCCCTGCCTGCTCACCTTCCCGTTAGAATGCACGCTGGCTGTGGGGTTCCTCCTCGGTTTCAGTTTTTTTGCATGCTCTGGCCAGTAGGGATGCAGTTTAGACCTAAGATGAAGGCTATCATCATCACTGCCACTCAGAAATATGTTCTGAGTGTTGTATTTTTGAAGTGGAGTGACATCCTGTGGGCAGCAGGCTGCTCGTCTACGGCTATTGTTTGAAATATGTTTACTGACCGCCATTCTGTTCATTATATCAAATTATCAACTTGTTAAGTAACTTTTATGATAATAAAGAGAATATAATGGTAACAGGAACAACAATTCAGTGAACTTTGATGAAAGGATGATAATCGCAATGATCAGACAAAGCAGTAATTTTCTCACCTACAAAATTACTTAAGAGGCTGTCTGTGAAAGCAAGCTGAGCTCTGCCGCTGACTCCAGCAACGTGGTCTTTGTGTAAAAGCCTCAGGAACCTTCCTTTCCAACCCTTGATGCTTCAGCTCTGTTATAAGGACTTCGTTAGCATTAATAGCAGTTTTCAGAACTAGAGAAACAATGTGTAGAGTAGATCTGAACACTATGCAGATAAGCAGAAAGTAGCCATCACACAACGATGTACAGGAATCAGTTTCTTGAGCTATCTCTATCCTAGAACGTGTCAAACAGCGCAGCCAGTGTGCCCTGAAACTTGATGGGTTTTCTGCCCTCACAAGAAATACATCTTGAGGAAAAGAACAAAGAGCCTACCAGCAACGGACCAATGTGCAAACTACATAACTGGCTTAGAATTATGGGAACTTTAGAAACATCTGTTTTCCCATACAAGTTGTCTAACTTGCAAAAGCATTTATAATTTGCTTACTGCCATATTAAAATCTAGATAAGGTTCCTCATTTACGAGAAGACTTTGTTGCTTTCTTATCTGCTTTTGAGACATCTTGTAATAAGAGGGTTTTTTTTCTTTTGGGTCTGTAGTGCTTTTTCAATCAATGTAGCTGACACCAGATAATTTCAACACAAGGGACATATCATACTGGCCTTGTATGAACATTGACCTAATTTAGTTAATCTTAGATTGTTTATCCAGAGTATCTTGTCTGTGAATATTTGAAAGTATATAACCATTGTAGTCTTTAGGGAGAAAAAGAAAAACAGAAAGCAAGCAATGGCTTTATGAGAGGCAAGAGCATGGGAGGCCATGCATGCATATGGAAAATAAACCAAAGAGAAGTGAGCTGAGAACTTTGCTGGCAGGGCCAGTGTCCACCTTGTCCCTGGGCTTCTCTTTTCTGCACCTGTTTATAATTTTTCCTTCTTTTTTTCCTAGATGATTCTGAACAAGTAGGAGAGCAGAGCCACGTCTGTTAGTGGCTAAATTCTTGCTGTTCACCTCTTAGTTGCCTAAGTGAATTTAGCAGAACAAACATGAGTCGTTGCAAAAATAAACCACTTTGTCATACTAATAAGCATAGCCACAGTCAGATTATTTGAGTCTCTAATGGGATCTTGATGGCTCTTTAACAAGGTATATGCTAAATTTTTAGTTATTTCTTTGGCAAATTTTTAAAAATAGGTAATTTGATTAAAGAATAAAACATTTTTATTCAATGTTCCTTACTAATTGAACAAAAGGCCCCAATTTTTTATTATTTAAATTTTTTTATTGATAAGGTATTACTCTGTTGTCTAGGCTGGAGTGCAATGGCACCATCATAGCTCACTGTAGCCTCCAACTCCTGGGCTCAAGCAATCCTCCCACCTCAGCCTCGTGGACTACAGAGCTCACCTAATTCCTTTTTTAATTATTAATTTTTGTAGAGACTGGGTCTCACTATATTGCTCACTGTGGTCTTGAACCCCTGGCCTCAAGCGATCCTCCCACCTTGGCCTCCCAAAGTGCTGGGATTGCAGGTGTGTACCACCATGTCCAGCTCCAGAAGCTTCGAATAACAAGTGACATTATCCTAAGAGTTAATAACAAAATTAAAACCATTTCAATTAGTTTACCTATAAAATCTTTTCCTTTCTTGGTATTTTATTAACATAACATTTTGTTTTTCCCTTAGTTTAATTTAACCAAAAATAAGTAAATGTATGTACTAATAATGAACAACAGGACAGTTTCTTTTATGATAAAACAATTTTTTAATTTTATTCAAAATTATCCATGAGACATTTCCAATTTATTAAGAAAGTAGACTTAATGTCACATTTTTGCCAATTCATTTCTTACTAACTATACAACCCTCAAAACAAATATATCAAAATGTAATGTGTGTATATCAAGCCTACATGCATGCAGAAGTTTTATGTTGTAGTTATACTGAATGTATCAAAAATAACACTCTTGGAGAACTCTCTTCTCACTCACTGTCATCAACAGGCAAAATATAATCTCTAATTTTTATAACATCACTTCTAGAAATCAGTGTCTAAAATGTTATGTAAAATATTTTAAATACTTCATTTAAAATAAAAAGTTTGCAAATGTGTTATCTTGTAACCGCCATGACCAAAGTATGACTCACAGATTTTTGAAGCTACAAGTCAATCATAGGAATAAAAAATCTAGAAGGAATTCCATTCTCAATTATTTAAACACATTTTCACCAGGTGTAAATTGTTGCTCAAGTTTTGTGTTTTGTTTGTTTTGTTTTGGGTTGCAGTGATGGTAGGTGGTGGTGATGGTGATACATCTGCGTGGAAAAATTAAAGCAGGAAAGTACCAAAACGCTGACCTGAAATTTGAAAATAACAGGAAAGAGGTTGCTTTAGAACAGTGTAGACATTATACAATAACCTGTAGTAATTTACATCTCATCATTATCCAACATTTGCAACAAGATTCTTCAAAAGTTACTGGAGAGTTCATGTAAGATTGCTGGCTGAGATCACAATATAGTAATTAGATGGAATTAGAGTTAAAATGGAAAGAAAATGAATCAAGCAATGAAATACAGTGTGTAGTGCCACCCCTCCCCATGCATTCTCAGAAAAAAGCAGCTTTCGTAACATGCTACGTTGCAAAAGCACGGTAAACTTCCTGCTGTATCAGAGGCTCCGCCTTTTCCTCCATTTTTGTGTTTTTTTCCCATTTTCTGAAGAATCAGTGAAGAAGCCTAAAGCTGCCCGGCAGACATATAATGCGAGCCACAAATAGGTGCTGCCTGGGTCATTTCAAATTTCCCAATAGCTGCATGTTTAAAAAGCAAAAAGAAGCAGAGGAAATTAATTTCAATAATATATTTTATTTAACCTAATGTATCCAAAATATAATCTTTTCAACCTGTAATCAATATTTTAAAATGAGTAATGAGGTATTTTCATGTTTTTTGAATACTACATCTTTAAGATCCTTTGTCTTTTACACTCAGCACATGCCAATTCAGAATGGCCACACTCTACGTGCCCACTGGCCACTGGCAGTGAGCAGCTGCAGCAGTGGACAACATAAGTCCAAGTAGCAGTCAAGGGCAGCCAAAGAAAAGGCACCAAGAGAGGGCGTGAGCCCGGAAGCGCGGGGAACCGAGTATGGTCCAGTCTACTCCAGCATCCTCAGGCAGGAACCCAACTCCAAGAGCTCAAAAGAAAAGGAGCAATTAAAGTTGAGAACTAAAAATGTTCTTGTCCTCCCTTTCTTGCTGTAGATGTTTGATTTTTATAAAGATTCATCATTCAGCGCTGCGTGTTTACCCAAGTGAGTGTTCTCCCAGCTGTGAGATGTCACCTTCCATGGGGACTGAGGCCACTTGTCACTGTGGAGACCAAGGGGACTGCAGTGTGTGTGTGTGTGCACATGTGTGGCTGGAGTGAATGTGTGTGACTAAGTTGTGTCTGCGTGACCCACGCGTGAGAGTGAACGTGTGTGACCCCGCAGTGTGTCAAAGTGAGGCTGAACCTGCGCATGTACGTGGCGCGCGCGTGCGCGAATGCAGCAGAATCCCCGCCACACTCTGGAGCGGCCTTTCGGGCCTTTTCCACCGGGAGGCCAGGTGGGTCCCAGGACGTTCCCAGCCACTGAGCCATGGGCGCCCTTAGGGCGAAGGTGACCTGCGCTCCCTCAGCAGGCACATCCGGCGCGTCCACCCCCAGCCGGACGCGGTCCAGCCTGGCCAAGGCCCCTCTCCAGCACGGCCCGCGCCCTCCTCCCATGGCGCCGGCTCAGAGGCAGCCCGGGCATCAGGCGTCCTGGCTTCCAGCCTGTCCCGGCCCCGCATGTGGCCTGGCCACGTGAGACCTGAGCGAGAGCCACCGCGCCGCGTCTCAGCTGACACTGCGCAGCCTCGAGGCCGCGTCACACGACTTTGGTGAGAAAAAGAGCGTTCTCGTCCTGCTCCCCGGAGGAGTCCGGCGTCGGAGGGTCCTCCCTCCCGCAGCTGCTCCATGGCGTCGCCATCGCAGCCTCCAGCGTCGCCGGCCCAACCCCAGGACACACACCCTATGGGGCCTCTTCTCCCTTTGTTTCCCTGTTCTCGTGTTCACGCAAACAGGATTTGGTTGCACGCCAACTCCATACCCGGCCCCCTCGGTTGGTCCAGAAGCCGGAAGGCAGCAGCGGCCTCGGGGCGCAGGGGCGAGCCGAGGTCCCGCCCGGCTCGCTCTGGGTCCCGGTTGTCCTGCTGGCTGTCTCCAGGTGACTCCCTTTCCTGGGAGTTCTTCCAGCCCAGGGCGAGGAGGGAGGGGGCATCCTGTGAAGCAGAGCAGCACGTCAGCAGAGGCCGGTGGGCCGGAGGGAGCTCGCCGGGCCTCCGAGACCCTCGCGCTCGCCGGTCCCAGCGCCCGCAGCCGCGGTCGGCCGCCCGCACTCGCCCCAGCGCCCGCCGGGCTCGCGTCCGAGCTCTGCGCCCCGCCCCGCCCCGCCAGGCGCATCCTTCCCGCCCCGGGAGTTCTCAGGGAACGAGGCCGCTGGGGGAGATGCGCCGGGCAGCGGAGGAGGCTATGGAGGGAGAGGGAATGAAAGCAGTTACATACATGACAGAGACGAAAGTTCTAGAGCTGTTTGTAAGAGTGCTGCAGAGTAGCGCTGCCTGGCCATACTACTTGTTTGCTCCAGGGAGCACAAACCCTCTGCTGTGTATTGTTTTGAGCTCAGCCTGAAGCAAATGGTTTCAGAAACTATCACTGGTGCTATAATTAAAACAGAAGATGGTGTCTGTTAAATTCACTCTGCTTGATACCTTGGCTTCTTTCAATGAATCAAACTTGCAATATTAAAGCAACACTTTAGAGAAAACTAGGATATCTGGAAATCTCAGGGTCGTTTGAGTCAGACATCTGAGCTCAGAACCCCAAGAAAGGTTTTCAAAGTTCGGGAACCCACCAGAAAGAGGAAACTATGGATCAGCAGAGGCTGTCACTTGCAAAAAAAACTCCCTCCTCCCCACTGCCCCTCCTCTTCCTACCCCCTACCAACAGAAAGGGACCTGGACTTTGGAACTTGTCATGAGGAAAAGAAACCTTCCCTGAGAAGGCTGCTAATGAATTCGGATTGTATAGTTTTCAAAATCTGATGTTTTGCAATGATGACATTAGTGTGGCAACTGAGGGTCCGAGGCGACAAGTCTGCGCAGCTGCTCCGCACTTTGAAATGCCCCAGACAATGGGCGCAGTGTTCCCGGCGCTTGGCCTCTCCAGCCATTTGCATAGACTGTTCCGCCTGATTGACCGGCGAGTCTGTCGCCGGGATCAGCATTGTTCACGCATCACTTCAAGATGGCCGGGGCGACAAGATTCAGGTGAGAGATGAAGTGGGATGATTCCCGAACGCCACAAGAAAAAACAACGCTGGGAAGCTTAGCAAGAACTTGGGTTTGATGTTTTCGCGGTGGGACTGGCTTGTTTGCTCTTGAAGACGTCGCCTGCTGTTGGAGGGGAAAATTAAAGACAAGGATTTTAAACAGGAATTTGCAAAGCCTCGTTTGGGGAGTGATTTGGGGTCGTCTTTTATCCAAAACTCCAATAATTTTATGGCATTTTATTTCATTGTAATCTTTCACTCGTCAAAGTTTAAAAGTTACGCTGCCAAAGGGGGAGCAAATAGTTTCATTCTCTGTGGCCAAAACCTATTACCAGTTGAGTCTGAATTTGTTATTTTCCAGAAAGACCATTTTGAAAACTTGGCGGCTGTGGTCCTTGGGTGGCGACTCCGAGCTGTGGCAGTACATGGAGTCAGGGTGGTTTACGTCCACGTTGCCAGCCAAAAGCAGTACTTGGTTTCAGAAGTCGTTTCACACTTATTACAGCAACGAAGTCACACACGCAGAGCACCTCCACCACCACCAAAATAATTTTCGCTTGACGCTGATGTTTTGACTTCAGCTCAGAAAGACAAGTCTCTGTAATACAAGTTCGTCTTCCCCAGAGGGTTGACGCGCCATCTGCCACCATTTCCACCCCTAGCACTGAGCTCCGCATCACTGCGGAACTGGGGTTGGTGTCCGCGTCCAAAATTTCCCGGGGATTTCAGTCTTGAGAGGTGTAAATATTCTCAATAACTCGCAGAGACCAGGCCTTGAAGGAGGCTCTGGGGGAGGGACCTAAGTGGGAACGAGTGCAGCTAGAGGAACCCAGAGGGTTGGAGGGAGGGGGGGCGCTCAGGACATTGTCTCTCCCAAGCCAAAAATGTTTGATTCCTTCTCGGACAGCTCTTCCACTGCGGCCACTCAGAGGACGCACCGCGACACCCGGAGGGCCTACCCAGGTGGGGCTGGGCCAGGGCTGCCCAGTCCCCCAACCCTTTCTTCCCCTACCCTCCTCCTACCCGCTCCGTCTCCAGCGCCCCAGCAAAAAGCCAGTCCTGGGGAAGGCACCCAGCAGCCCTCGCCCGGGGACACAACACCTGGGCACGGCATGTCGGGGACGGAAGCAACACTTGCCCGCAATGTCCCCGCGAGGGCCCGGGAGGTGTCTCCAGGTCCCCACCCGCGTTCGCTGAGAATCGCAGCGAGGCTCATCTCGGGAATATAACTATTAATCCAGCCGCAGGTTTCCAGATAAGTGATTGTGATGGAGATTGTTGGCTTGAAAATAGACAATTATCCGCTGTTAGCTTTACATAAAGATCGCATTAACTCAAATTAGTTATCAGACAAAAGAGCGTCGGCGCGCGCGCCCTGCCCGCCTGCGCCCTGCCCGCGGGGACCCAGGGCGCACCCGGCCCATTGCTCTGCGGGCAGGGCCGAGGCCTTGGTGGGCGCGCAGCCTTGACGGGGCGCGGGGCGAGGGGACCGCGCACTGGGGATCCGGGCGCCGGCCCCCGCAGGGACTCCAGGTGGCGCTCGGCAGGACGCAGCTCGGGGGCTCTGGCCGGAGCACAGCAGCAGCCTCTAGGGCGCCCGAGCTCCAGCTCCTCCCCCAGCGCTCCCTCCACTGCGCTCTGGCCACCCCTCCCTCCCACTTCCAAGTCCCCGTCCCGCAGGCTGTCCTCTCCCGCGCGCTTCTCCAGAGCTGTCCTAGTCCCCCCGCCGCCCGCAGGCCCTGCTTGTCTGTCCTCGAGGGCGGGCGGAAGACGCCGAGAATCACTCCAGGAAAGGACGGGCCCTCCCCTGCCGCGGAACCAGCCTCGCTGCGAAATCGTCCTAGGTTACGCCAGGCGCGCTTCGACCCACCGTTCCGGGACCCACCGCCCCCACTCCCCGCGCGCGGTCACTGTCCCTCCCCCTACACTGAGTAAGGGTCCTGTCCCCTAGACCCTGCTGCCACTCGGGGACGAAGACGAACGGGAAGGGCGGGTTACGGGAAGGAGCACAAAGCGACCGTTGGAGCTGAGTGTCGGAGGCCGGGGTCACCGGGAGACAAGCCGGGCCAGAGCTACAGCGGGCACAGGGCCGTGCGGCCTGGACGCCGGACGAACAAAAGTTACTCTCCGTCCGGACGCGGCGTGGCGTCCTGCCATGCTCTTTCTCCGTGTTCCTGTTAGTTTTGACACCGGCCTGTCCGAGCAGGGATTTCATTGACGTTGTCGTTGCAAAGCACGGCCCAGCTCCCAGAGCCCCAGCCGGGCGCAGGGCCCAGCGGGGTCCCTGCTGCCGCCCCGCGCTGGCGGCAGTGCTCCCACCGGGCTGGCCTCCTCGGCCCCAGGGTCCCCAGGTCCCGCTGAATGGGGGATAATGACTCCCGGTTCCCAAGGCAGGCTTTCTGCTGCCTGGTGAGCCTTGGATTTGTGTGGTCCAAGCCTTTCCCAGCTTGTCCCATTCTGTCACCGGGATAAGGGGCTCCCTCGGCTCGTTTGCACCTGCGTCGCTTTTGGCTCCTTCAGGAATGCGCTGAAGCTTGTAATCAGCTTTGTGAAGCCATTGAGTGCACGGCTGAGTGAAACTTCCAAAGCTCGAGGAGAACCGGCCTCTGAATAGCAGCCAGCATGGGGCTGCTCTCCAAGCTGCGGCTGCCAAATTCCAGCAGAGCCCCTCACAATCGCTCGCGCGGGCTCCGCTGCTTTCCCCACACTGAGAAAAGTGAGAAAAGAAAAGCGAAAATACCAGTCACCGAGGTTAGCCGTTTGTTCCCAGATTAATGGCAAACGGCTCCCTCCTCCCCCACCAACATAGACAGCTCACGACTCAGGCTACCGGCCAGGGGAGGGGAGAACAGTTATTAATAACTCCTCATTTGATTTCGCACTCTCTGTCCCCTGCCCCAGGGCGGGTCTTCGTGCCGGCCCCCAGGCTCCCCACTTTTAGTTGCTGAGCTGCACTCCAAGCCCAGTCTGCTTTGGGCCTGTGGCCTGGGGAGGCCTTGGCAGTCTTGGCTGTGCTCCTAGCTTGAATGGAGGAGTGAGATGAAGCCAAACCCAAGAGATCCCAAAACTAGTCTTGCAAAGCCTCCAAAATATTCTTCCAGGAAACAAAACCACAAACCAGTCCTAAGCCTTCACCCACTCCCTTCCCCACATCCAGTCAACAGGGCTGCTGTCCTCCCACCCCTAGAACAGGAACAGCTGGATTTCAAGGGCTTAGAAGACAGCAAACTGCAGGGAAGGAAGAACTTCTCTGACCACTGAGAGGTGTGTGTGTTTGCTCTTCCCAGATGACCTCAGCATTTGGAGCTGCAACTGCCACCCTATGGCACATGTTCATGACTGGTTCAGGAAAACAGGCGTTCTTCAAGGTGTTATTTCTTACCAAGAGTCTCTAACCATTCAAACAAGCGCCTCCCAGGGCTGCCTCCCAGGCCCTTGGATCCTTCCCTCCCAATTAAGGTACACAACGGTTCTGGGCTGGCTTTCTTTCCAGAAAGGCAATCCTGGGCAGCCAGTAGCAGACCAATCAGCTTGCAAAAGGCCAGCCCGTACTCACCCAGGGCAAGGCATGCCTGCACCCAGCAACTGGCAGCTCGCCCAGGGCAGGGCTCCTTCGTGTTGTTAAGCCCTGTGGTCCTAGAACAGTGCCTGGTAGTGTGTATGTAAAAGACACACTCAAAACATGTTTACTGAATGAAGCAGTGCCATTTTGTCTCTGAACTCAAAGCCTGGAAGCCGGTCCTTTGAAAAGGAAATATGGAATCCTTCCTTGGATTACTCGCGGTCACAGTCTTCGGTTGTGACTAACAGGCATTTCTTGGAGGAGAGACGGTGAAGGCAACATTCTACTCTATATGTAAAAACTCTTTACACTTGCTGTGCATTTCTTTATCCAATTAATTCTTTCCACCATCAATTACATGTCTTTCCTTTTCTACAAGCTCAAATGTATCATTTTGACATTTGATCTTGATTTCCATTCCTTCCAGTAAACACAAGTTCAGTCCTACAGGGTTTTCCTTCTGCTGCAGTGCCTTGCTTTTGTAGGGGCACCATAATGTGTGACTGCTGCTCTGTGCTATAAATAGTCCCCTGGTGGATCGAAAGGCGTAATGGGCCTCTTTAAATACCTAACTTATTATAAAGCCCTGGAGAGAATGACATTAACAGGCAGACAGGAAAGAGAAGAGAGCTCCCCCTGTAGATGCCCTATTCGAGTTCTTGTTTACACTCTTTGTAAGACTTGGAGTGGGCAAGACTTAGAAGTTTAGACACAGTAAGGAGAGTAAGCTGGGGGGCCTTGGATGTGAAAGAGCCTGTTTGAGCAAGGAGGAGATGGTACTTCAAGAGGTCAAGTGATTTGCCCAGAAGTACTCAGGGGTGTCATGACTGTTATCGGTAATAAGAAGTAAGGAAATCAGTTAGTGCTTTGTCCTGTTTTTAAACACATTGGATAGTCCTGTTTAAGATCAACGCAATCCTTCAGTTCTGAATCCCCAAAGGTGGCACAAGAGAATTGGCACTCAAAGAAGAGTTAAATATCTCTCTATGCCAAGGCTTTGTGCATCCATTTGTAGATGCTTAAATGCTTTAAACATTCCAAATTCATACCACCCATTTTGACATTTAAAGTTTACTTTTTACTGTAAAGTTTGACATGTTGTTTTCAGTAATGTTTCTCCTTCCAACCATTCTCAGTAACAAGTCAGGAGGATATGCAGTAATTCAGAAATTAGTGAAATTTTATTCCTGGTGGGGGTGTTGGATTAAGAGGCTGGGAGAGTGTGAAGCAAGTCAACGTGTAATTGCATGATAAGGCTCTCACGAGGAATTTATTGGCCAAGTTGCTATTTCTATTCCTTCCTAATCTCGTTTAGCACATTCATTCTCTGCAATCTGTCTCCATAATCTTCTGTAGCAGAATGGCAGCCAATAGAAGCATGCATGTTTGGAGAGAAGAGAAAATATGCAGAAGCGTGATAAACTGATGCTAATTATCCATATTTAGGACACCAAGTGCAGAAGATCAAGGTTTACAAATAACAAACCAGAGCCAATGATGATGGCTTCCTCGTGTGGAATATATTGGAGGAGACCAGATAAGGGTTTCATGGGCAGGAGAGATTTATTGGTCAAAGGGTTCACCTTCCACTTTTCCACTTTTATATAGCAGTAAATTATTTAGGCTAAATTCACCAGAACATTACTCTTTCATTTGGCGCTGTGCCATGACTTGCTCTTTCTTTGTGTCCTTTCAATGCAAATCCTTGTAGTTTAACATCAGTTGATAAGAAACAAATAATTGAAGTAATAGGTAATTCCCTTTAAATTGTGCATATAGGATGGTCCCAGGAAGAATGAGATGAGGTACAGAGAACAGTGCCTGGACAGAAAGAGAAGCAATCTCAACCTCAGCCCTTCAGTGACACAACTGGGAGGGGAAAAGAATTTAGACACTCACCGCACACGTGCGTGTGTCTCTGCATGCCCCGCGGCGGGCAGGCTGGCGGTGAGTAGTAGGTGTGCAGCTGTCCCAGCAGAGGCCCAGCGTGGCTGTTTTTCCTGTCTGGAATCCTGATCATTTAAAACTAAAACAACAAAACAAAAACCTAAATATATTCTTTCTCTTCCCTTCACTCTCCCATACCACCTCTGACTGAATTAATATTTAGAATTGGCTCCCAATCCTCTCTAAGACTTATGGCTCTGACAAAAGACCTAGAAAGAATCCAGACTAGAAACACCCCGTGGCATGGTTGAGGGGTCAGTGATAGAGATTTTTCTGCATTACAATGATTGCCTTGTAAAGTTTCCAGAGGGCAAGCACGAAGTAGCACCGTATTTTGCTGTGAACTTCATGCTTATTTCAAAATGTGTAACATTAACTAAACATTCAGTGGTACTAACCTTGATTTGGGGGGAGGAGGGATACTTATTTTCAGCTTTGGCACCAACTGGGAAACTTGATTCATCCTCTGAGAATCTTCTAGAGTTTTCATTTGTAGCTTTTTCAGTTGATGGTGGGCAAAGCAACAGAAATTCTCCATTGAATACACACTCGAGCATGTGTAGACCACCTATTATAAAGACAAAAAAAGAGTTATGTGGAAATTTGAGTGTTTAATTCATAATTCCTACATAAAGAAGTATTAGGGAGGAGCACTGATCTTTGACACATGATTTTTCTTCACCTTAGACCAGCAGTCCCCAACATTTTTGGCACCAGGGACTGGTTTCATGGAAGAAAATTTTTTCATTGACCCAAGCCCAGAATGGGGAGGGGTGGTTTGGGAATGATTCAAGTGCATTACATTTATTGTGCACTTTATTTTTATTATTATTACATTGTAATGTATAATGAAATATTATACAACTCACCATAATACAGAATCAGTGGGAGCCCTGAGCTTGTTTTCCTGCAACTAGACGGTCCCATCTGGGGGTGATGGGAGACAGTGACTGATCCGACAGGAGGCGGAGCTCAGGCAGTTTTGCGAGAGATGGGAAGTGGCTGTAAATACAGATGAAGATTCACTCTTGCCCGATCACCTTTTGCTGTGCCAGGTTCCTAACAGGCCACTGACCAGTACTAGTCCTCAGCCCAGAGGTTGGGGACTGCAGGCTTAGACCATCTGGACAAGAAATCATTTGCATGCTTTCACACACATACACTTTTTCTCTCTATTTCAACAAGCTTAAGATGCCATTCATTAAAAAATGCATCTTTACATGCTGCTGTGAAAGAAAAAACTGTCAATTATAATTGTAAGTTGTCACTGATGGTAATAGTGCATTTCTATTCCAAAGGTGATAAAAATGTTTAAAATGTGTACCTTAGGACCAAAAAAGTATAGCATGTATAGTTGAGTTAGTCAAATAATGAGTTTATAACATTTTGTTCAAACTGTTTTCAAAATTACCCATTGTTCTGTAGAAATAAACTTTGTTGTAAATTAATAAATGTGTTAACAATCATGTGTAGTTAACACATAAAACACATACTGTCTAGTTATACATAGTTTAGAAATGTAGAATTAAAACATTTATCCATTCAATTCACCAAAAAGAGAAAGAAAAGGTAAAAATAAAAATATTCTTCCATCAGCAATAATCTAGCAATTGAAGCAAAAATTGTAGATTGCTGGTTTTTTTTCGTAAATTAAGTTAGAGTAAGAACCTCAATTATTCACTTTATTTGACACATTCAGATATGAAAAAATCCAATGTGCTCCTTCACACATATTAATACATATTTGGTATATGCCAAAGTAAAGTGAGTAATTTAGGCTTATTTGGTGTGGTGTGGTTTGGTTTGGGTACTCCCGCTTGGATGTGGTTAATTGGTGTGAATTGATGCCAGAATCAGCTTTTCTCCCTGAATTACAGGATTTTCATCTAAATGAACTAAACAGCACTTGAACTCGTTACCCATATGGGCTCTCATGTTCACCTTCAAACATCTCTTCTCATCCACACTTGTGACCACCACCTATATGTAAAAACTAACCATTATTTTGAAAGCAGGATTAAGTTCAGAGAAAAATCAACAATTTTAAAGTAACCAGTGAAATGCAAGGAACCAGTTAAAATGGTTACCAGTTGAACTTAATTTTAAAATTTTAACTTCTTCCTAAAATTAAATTCAGTGTTTCCTTTTCAGTTAGCTTGTGTTCATACAGACAGACACAATTTTTATCCCACTAGAAGTGTACCGTGGCAGAATGTGGGAAAGCAGATGAGGGAGGAAGTTACCAACCAACAGACCCAGGAATTCCAAATGTGGCCGGGAGGACACCTGTGCCCTTCTGAGCCTGTGTGCCTGTAGTGAGCTTGCACCGCACCCATGCAGCTGTGCATGTGTGTCTGTGTGTGCGCGCATGTGCACGCGCCCTGGTGCCCGTGTGCTCACAGATGGGGGCTGAATTGTAGCAAGATGCAGCAGACGGCACTTCTGGCTCCTGCCAGAGTTAGGCCCTGATGGAGCTGGGTGAGGAGAGAATGCAGGTGCAGAAATGCCAGGAGGAGATCAGAGGATGACAGACACTCTGAGTTAGTGTCTTTCTGGAGACCACTTTGTTCTTCCTGATAGCTCATGGAGCCAGCTATGTGCTGGCATGAACTGTGTGCTTCACAGCCACTCTTGGGGCTTTTTCTAAATGAGGGGATGATTAGTTTGGGGTGTGGCTGTCCTTTGGTCTTACTCCTCCTGTCTGAGCCTCTCCCCTTACCCTGTGTTCATTAATAAACAAATATATATTCATAATGCATGCAAACTTAAGTAAGCATTTCTTTCATAAACACCTAGCTCCCACTGAATTTTCAAATAATGCAGAAAATGGCTTTGTGTGTTCATCTTCCTGGGTCACTCCCCTGGATCACTTTAGTGCAGACATTATAGCCTCTTTTAAAATATGTCTCCAGCCGTGATTTTCTTCTCTATAAGCAGTATATACCAAGGTATCTGAAATAAACACAGAACTCCAAGTATTGTTTGCTGTGAACTCGTTAGCAAGATGATTACAAGATACTGCAAATGTGCTTGGCATTTTGAAGCACACTTTCAGCTCCAATGACTTCAAATAGCTTCTAAGTAAAACAAATAAACAGAATAATGGTGGGATTTATTTGGAATTATTCATTATGACACTACCCAAGGCATGACATTTCCAATCATGTCTTAATTTCTTTATAGAAGTAGAAACAGTTTTCATATCTTGACATATTCATCACACCAAACTCGGGGCAGTTACCTCTCTGGCTCATTCTGCAGCTTCAAGAGCTGATAGGACACCATGGGGTCTTTCAGAAGTTATGCCTGGCTTGCCCCCACTTCCACACATTAAATGCGAAATAAATGCCCAGGCTGACTCTCCTGCATTATGATCTGTGAGTTGATGTGTTAAATGAGCTCGTTGCTTTAAAGGTTATAAATGACAAGATTTTTACTATTACAAGTAATTTATAGCTATTTCCTGTTTGACATGACAGATCCTCATGGAGAAGTCCAAATTTGTCTGCTTGACATACATTTATTTTAACACTTTTCTCCTTCTCCAAATTCTAGCATGTATTAACTACTGTTTTCCTAGGTGTCAATTTGCACCTGTGGGGTCTACCTCTCGAGGCCTCGCTCAGGTCCCCTAGCCTCTATTCCAGCTGGCTGCCTGCATCTCAGCCGCTAATGTGGGTGATTACTGGCATATTTACTATAATTTATAAAAATCACAGGAAATGACATTTTTATTAGTCACTGACTCCACCATCAGCAACTGCAATGGATGTTATGCACACAAATGCATTTAAAAAATTGTTCTTCCGAAATCAGAAGCTCTTTCCGGTCTCTGACTCTGTGAAAGGATCACATTTCACTTTCACTTACAACGAATGGGCTCACTCAGGAGCTCAGAACTTGGCTTAGTCCTCAGGACTTGGAATTTTGGGAGGGGACTGGATTAGGGGTCAGGACTTGCTCTCCACAGCTGAGAGGAGGCTCCCTAGAGTCCTGACCCCAGTCTGGGAGTCGGAGTGGAGGGCAGTTAAGAGCTGGAACTCCTGGGTCAGGCTGCAGCTCACAGACCCTCTCCAGCCCACGGTGAGCCCTGTGCCTGCACTTGCTGTCATTGCTGCTGTCGGTGTACCAGGACTTTATGTCCCGTCCACACTGTGGGCTCCAGAGCCACTTGGAGCTGCTGCCATGCGCCTCAGAAACCTGATAGTCTGGCTTTCCCAGTCCCCCCCATGTCTCCAGGAGGCCTTGCCCATCTGAGAAGGTTGGGGGTGGGCTGAGTCTTATGGATGAGTAGGGATTTTTGTGCGGACAGAGGGCAGGAAGGCTCACTTGACAAGAGTCAGGATGCGGTGTGCATGAGGAGCACAGCGCGCACCGGTGCTACACTGTTTCCACCCTCATTGTCTCCTTCAGTCCTCACTGTAACCCTGCCCCCTTTCGTCACTGAACACCGGCAGTGTCGGCCTGGGATTTGGACCCGCGCAGGTGTGACTCCGAAGTTTGCTTTCACCACTCCGCTGGGCGGCGTTACTGAGGATAACTGTGGAGCCAAAGGGAAGTAGACTTTAGACCAAACAGAGGAGAAGCCTCATGCAGGCAGGGACGGCCGAGGCGGAGGAAAGGGGACTGCGCTTGTTAGTCTCTAGCTCGGCTAATACGTGCACGCCCACGTGAGACGCTGCGAACCTGCAGCCTACCCGTGTGGCACAGCAAGGTGGATGCTCCTCACGCCCGCGTTACTAAGGAAACTGAGGTTCAGGGAAACGCGGCGGGGACATGTGAACGCTGGCATCCGCCCACACCCGCACGACGGCAAAGCGCTCCTGAAGCCCATCGCCCGCCCTCGGCGCAGCCTGTCCCCTGCAGCCCCGCAGGCAGCGGCGCAGGAGCCAGCGAGCCCAGCCCCGCCGCGCTTGCTGCAGAAGCAGCAGCCCAGTGGCCTGAGGAGGAGGAGGGGCCTGGTGGGGAAACTGTTGCAGAGAGGGGTTGAAAGATGGAGGGGCCGTTCTCAGGAGCGGACGAGTCGGAACAGGAGGGCACGAAAGGAATCATGGAGGGTTTTGAGGGCACAGCCGACTTCAGATTAACCAAACGGAGCACCCCACGATCTTGTAAGGAGGGTCTGAAACACAACACAGATCTTACTGCGTTAGGGATTAGGGCAGGCTATGGCCGTTTCACGCCCAGGGCAGTGAGAGGCCGACTATGCTGAAAGGTCTGGAATGGGGCAGCCTGGGGAAGGCCCAGAGAAGAGAAGCCACGTCGTGGGTGCAGTGTGGCTGGTGACAAGGGACATCTTAGAGCCAGGTGGCCCTGACTCTGCCAGAGTTCTGCCCCATGCCCTTAGCAGGACAGAGGTTGGCATGGCATGTGGAGAGAAGCAGAGAGAGAGACAAAGACAGAAAGAGACAGAGAGAGTCAGAGAGAGAAAAGAAGAACAATAAGAGAAGGAAAGAGTAAAGAAGGAAAGGGAAAGGAAGGAAGGAGAGAGAGAAGAGGGAGAGAGACAGAAATAGTTGAAAGGGATGGGACTGTCTTGTCACTTAGGGCCCTGAATCATAAGTATCT